TGGCAGCAGCCGGCCCGACCTCGAACATGAGAAAACGGAACGCCCCTTCAGAGATTTGTAATTTTTATTCGTAAAAATTCTTCCGAATGTGGTCTGGGTGAACCTCCAATCCTTGATAAGGCTGCGTTTTCTTTTGTTGACATGTGTTCTGTGTCTAAATTGTACTTAACGTCTTTGCGTTTATGTACAGATAGGCAGGCACACGTATTCTCAGCCGACCTCGAACATGAGAAAACGGAACGCCCCTTCAGAGATTTGTAATTTTTATTCGTAAAAATTCTTCCGAATGTGGTCTGGGTGAACCTCCAATCCTTGATAAGGCTGCGTTTTCTTTTGTTGACATGTGTTCTGTGTCTAAATTGTACTTAACGTCTTTGCGTTTATGTACAGATAGGCAGGCACACGTATTCTCAGACACATAGGAGAATCTTTCCTACGGGAAAATAAATCCTTGTCCTTTAACTTTCTCTCTAGAATCACTCAAAATTGTACTAAGAACTGTACAAATCAATTGTTTTTATTTTTTTTATACTGCTGTATCTGTTTTCAATCCCTTGTTTTGATGAGGTATTTAAAGTATTTAATCACTGAGAATAATTGTGGAAATGGCTGTTACCTGCAAAAATAGCTAGAGTTCATTCCATCTCTTGGTGCTTCAAGTGCATTTTAGAATATAATTACTTTAGTTTTACCTGTGTAATACACCTTCCCTTTGCCCCCCCCTCCAGCCCCAAAGAAATGCAGTTTAATGGCACTTAAAAAATTATTTCTGTGAATTACACATTTTGTGTATTAGCACTTCAGAGAATGCTATTGTGGTGCTAATTTCTTGCTTCTGAGTAAAAATTTTATTTTAGTATTTCATCTGTGCCTGAACTGTGATGACTGTCTTTTCAGCACAATGCTGTTTAGATGAATCCTGAGTTCCATCATTTTTAATCTGGCCAGCAAGTGACTATGTGAGCTGACTATTTCAGTTGCGTGGTATGAATGGAGTAGCATAGCATCCTGACTTGAGAGCACCAAATCTTACCTACCTGCTTGGCTGCCTTGGAACTGACTAATTTCTGCTACTTGCAGGCATACTGAATAGGTGTACTTTCAACAGAAAACTCTCTTCAGGTGGCTGAAATTATGTTATACCTTTACAATCCATGAAATGATCAGTGGACAGCAGGGTAGTAAGGAGCTTCTCTTTCTGGGTCTCTTGCCTTGCTAGTATGGTAGGTTTTTCTGGAAATCTCTCATTAAGCATAAACTGTTGTCCTACTTCCTCTGCACTGATCATTGTACTTTTTAAGATCCTCATCCATCTTGTCACCAAGCATATATATATATATAGCTAGCTTACGTAAAATACTTTGTCTTTCATTCTGTATGGTTGTTTTGCAAGCAGTCCAGACTTTGGCCTTACAAAAGCTTATGGAGATGGCAAGGATGCTAACACTGAGTATAAAATCTCAAATGTGCCCAGGCAGTGGCAAATTCATGGCACTTCAGGTCTACGTAGGCCAATTGAATGCACAGTATGAAAGGAAAAGCTTAGAAGCAATATTGGTGAGTAAAGTTTTTCTGTGCAGTACAAAAATTTATGTCTAGGTGGAAGGTAATGCAGACCTTCTGGTGCAGATTTGAGTGGTCTGAATTTCTACCCAAGTCCCTAACTGGCTAAGTACACTGGAAGGTCCAAAACCAATACATGATGATAAAAAATGCTGGCTATGTGGACTTAATTAGAATTTGAGCCATCTTACTCTAGTCCTGTGTGTACTGAGGGTTTTCATGACCTCATTATTCTTTTGAAAGCATAAATACCAAACAACCTTCAAAATTCAACTTTTGTGGCTTAGTCTGCTTTTGAGAATTTTGCTTCTAGACTTGTCTTTTTTTGCAGCTATCCAGTTGTGAAAAAGATGAGTGGTTTGGTTTCGTCCAATAAAAGGATATCGAACATATCTTCTCTTTTTGGATCACTGTATGTTATGTAAGTAATTTGTACTGGGTGCTTCAAAAGACCATGAGAGATACATCACCAGTGGAGAGTTACAAAGTGCTTGTCCTCTGAAGGGAAACTTCATTTTAAGAGTCACTAAAAGTGAATTTGTGTTTTTTGGGGAAAGTTGAGGAGATTAAAGGAATTGATATTTTGAAATCTTAATTGCACTGTTACTTGCCAGGCCGAAATAGACCAGCTGTGTTCTGTCTGCAGTAATTTTTAAAGTATACTACTTGTCTGCAAGGAGCTAAGGAGCTGATCTGTCCTGACATTTTTTAGAAAGTAAACTTGGTTTACAATGCCTTAATAAAAATAATGATCAAGAATCCTTGTTTTGAGAGAATAGCCCTGTTTGAAATAGCTGACAGTACCAATACCACAGATCTGGTGAACTGAGCTCTTAGTCGGTCTTTATTATGATCATACAACATGGACTTGAACGACCCATGCTGTTATAAAGGTGGAAGCAAATTAGCGGACATGTAATTCTGGAAATTAAAGAAAGTCAAGGTTAATTTTGATTAACCTTAAGGTTTACTACCATCCTGTATCCTTTCCAGTTAATAACTTGTTTGTCTTAATATGCCATAATTCTGTTTCTGAGACCTTCTTCTTTATAATTTATAGGCTATGGGTTTTTTCCGTTTCTTTGCCTGTTTTCCTTTTCTGTCCTTTTCTTTGCCTGTTTCTCAATACAGATGCTTTTAAAATCAATTTTTAGACATCCTATTGTGTTTGGGTTTTTTTGTTTCTTTTGGGATTAACATGAAAGGACATAGAATCAGCAGTAATTACAAATAAAGCTTCAGCTATTTTGTGTCTCTGCCAGCCTTTTACTGCAGAGACATGTTTCATCCTGCAACAGAATACTAGAAACATCTATCATTGCTGAAAGCTGCCATGAGGAATCCCAATTTTTAGCTAGACAGCATCCAAGCCAATGCATTTATAGCACACTTCTGTAGACACTGGTTTCTTAATTTGCTACTACCTTTCT